CCCCGCCCCTTCTCCACGTCCATCCCCGCCCACTCCTCGAAGCCTCGCCGATCTCCGATGCCCCGCCCCCGCCCCGCCCCCTACCCACTCCCAGCCGGCTCCAGTCCCGCTCCCCGCGCCCCGCGCTTGCTCACGCTGCAAGCAGTCTGCGTTGAGCAGGTCCTGGCACTTCTCGTGGCACTTGACGCCGCACTCGGTGCAGCGCATGCCCTGCCGCGCGATGCCCCACAGCAGCCCCTCACACTCGTAGCAGTAGGTGGGCGTGGTGGCCGTCCACACCTCGAAGTTGTGCGGCGTCGTGCATGAGATGGGGTAGATTAAGGCTTGCAGGGTCTTCTTGTAAACGTGGTTTTTCTGCGGGGAGGGAGGGCGTGCGGCATGGGGCGCGGGGCCCTAACCCGCGGACACTGTCCTGCCCGCCCTCACCCAGGTCTGAGTACAGTAAAGGCCCAGTCCTTCCCCAGCCCCACGCTGTCTGTCGGAATCCCTGGGTTCTGCGCACGGTCTGTGCTTGCTGGGTGCTGCGTCATCCAGTTGTGGAGGGCCAGGAATGCCTGTCTCTGCCATACCCTCCTCCTCTTCCTCCAGGAGCTCCCGGCCCAGCCCACCCCCCAACGGGGCGAGGAGGAGGGCCCGACGCACCAGCTCCTCGTTGTTCAAAGTGCTGGAGGCCAAGGCGGAGGTGATGCCTGCTTTTCTGGACTGGACCAGGGACTGGGGCAGGCGAGTCACCGAGGGAGTCACAGAAGTTGATTGACAGCCATGGGGTTGTCACCGAGAGCAGAATCCACAGCCAGGGTTTGGGGCCACCGGCCACAGAATCAAGCCACAGCCACGAATAGGAAACAAGTCACAGGAGCGGGAGAACCAGTGAAGAATTGGGAAGTGACAGAGGCTCCAGGTTAGAAGGGACCCTGGAAGGTGTGAGCAGCCCCACACCCCTGACTCACCCCTCCCCCACCATCATGGACCAGACTCTGGAGTCACGCTTGGCTGCGGTCACCAGCTACAGAGCAGAACCACCAGCCACACCATAAACCAAAGTGGGGAGTCACCTGCTCTCTTCCCCACCCATGAACTGTAGGATGTGGAAAGGTTCACTCCCGAGAACTCATGGGTTGGGGCCAGTTGGAAGAGCTCAGTGCAGGAGTCTGGGGAGGAGGCTCTGGGGCCAGGTCACCATCACTCACCATGGCCTGAAGTGTCCATGCAGCACGCAGGGTAGAAATTAGATTACGTTAGTCCCAGAGAATGCCTTGCCAGCCCCCAGCCCAAGGTCCGCCATGGGCAGTTGTACAGGTTGAGCACTGCTTGCGGCAGGCCTGCTCTGCTGGGGGAGAGGAGGGCACAGGCACTCACCAGATCACTCACGAGGGGGATGGGCTTCCTCTTGCGGATGTCCGGCATGCTGTCAATGATGATGAGACCACCGCCAGGGCTGCAAGACACACACAGGGCATCAAGGGCCCAGGAAAGTCCCCTTCCTCCAACAGACACCATCTGAGGCCTGGGCAGGACAATTGATCTCCCAGGGTGTTAAGAGTTGAGTTGTGTCCCCCACAAAGATACACTGAAGTCCTAACCCTCATTACCTCAGAAAGCAACCTTGTTTGAAAATCGGAGGGTTGCAGATGTAATTAGCTAAGATGAGGTCCTAGTGGGATGGGCCCAATCCAACAGGACTGGTGCCTTTATAGAAGAAAGACGGGCGTGTGACAGGGCAGGGACTGGAGTGCCGCGTCTGCAAGCCAAGGAGTACCCAGGGTCGCAGGCAACTCCCGGAGGCTAGGAAGGCAAGGAAGGATTCACCCTCAGGCGTCAGAGGAGGCGCCGCTCACGCTGGGCTTTGGACTTCTGGCCCCCAGAACAGTGAGAGAAGTTCCTGGGCCTCAACTTCCTCATCTGGGAAATGGGAGATGATGCCGTTGCTCACGTTTAATGAAAATTTGAGTTAAGGCACATCTAAATAATGTCCTAAAATATCAATGAAAGCTTTTTTTATGCTCAAGATTGCAAATACATGTGTGTGTTTAAAATCTATTCTGGAAGGAGCGACTTCAGAGCCCGTGGGAAGGAGATAACTGGAAATCGTTTCTGCTGTCGCCACTTGGCAGGTTTGCCGTAACTGGTGAATGTGAAAATGAGCACCGGGGCGATGCCACGGGGGCCTGTCCAAGCCCCCTTTCCTGAGAGCTGCACTCATCCAGAGTCTTCTGGTGTGCCTCCTCACCAGAAGGCTCCACTGGCCACTGGGGGGGGAGGGGGAGGGGGAGAGAGGGAGGGAGAGAGAGGGAAAGAGGGAGAGAGAGAGGGAGAGAGAGAGATGCCTGGCAGCAAGGGATGCTGGAAGGGATGCCTGAGCGCCTCCTCCAGAAAGCGTGTCACAGGAAGGCCCAGGGCGGCCTCGCCTCAAGGCTCCCCTCCCAGGACCCCTGCTCCTCGGGGGTCAGGGCTCCATCTCCCTGCCCGTTTGCAGAGGACGTACAACAGAAAGAGGTCACTCTTCTGCTGCTATTTTAAAACAGTAGTGTCATTTAAAAATATCTTTTGCATCTTCTAAACTCGCCACCCAAATTCTGGAAAAAAAAAAAAAAACCCTGAAAATGAGTAACTAAAGAAGTTAGATAAGACAAAACGCCCCATTTAAGACCAAAGGACTGGTGTCAATGAAAGAGGCAGCAACCTGGTGACAATCCGAGAGTTACGAGCAGCATGGAAGGAGGAAGCGCCCTCCAGGGACGCAGGTGTACGTGCAGGAATGGGTTTCTCCTCTAGCTCACACTGATTTCCAGGGGGAAGTGGCTTTGAAACACGTGAGTGACTGGGAAAAGGCAAGGACCTCTCCGGACTCAGTTTCCCGATCTGTAAACTAGGGGCAGTGACCCCAAGAGTTTGTGGGAGCATCCTACATGTTACTATCTCGGGCTCCTGCCCCGCCTGAGTGCTCTGTGACGGCGCCCACCTGATGTCACCCATGCTGTCAGCCCGGGCCCTGTCTAAATGGAGCCTCTCCCAGCCCTCGCTGGCCTGAAGCTCTGTGCGCACCCGCCACCAGGCTCTGGGTTCACACCTTCCTCCCGCCCCATAGCTCCGTTACTCACCCGCCCTTGAACCACAACGATTTGGACATCTCTCCTTCTCCCCGGGCCTGCAGGACACACACAGACATGGTCAGTGTGGCGGCCCCTTCCCAGGGTGGGGCAGGCACCAAACCCACTTCTGTCTCCCCTTGGCCTGGGAGTCAGAAGGCCCAGGGCCTAGTCCTCACTGTGTGTCCTTAGGGAGCTCACTGGCTTTCTCTGGGCCTCCATCTGTCCATCTGTAAGATGGGGAGAGAGGAGATGCTCTCTGCCACCAACCTCAGGGGGCTTGGCCTCCTGTCTGTCACACCTGGGGATTCGTTAGTGTCATCTCCCACAGCAGCTCATGCTCCACAGCCCTAGGATTCTCCAGAGCTGGTCAAACACTCTCACGATTCCGTCATTCTCTAAACTCCCTTCAGCTTCCCTGGCTCATCTGATCTTGTGCCCCAGGGCCTTTGACAGAGCTGTGCCACCTGTTTGTATGCCCTCCAACCTGCACCTGACCAGCCTCCACTTATCATTCAGGTCTCAGTGTAGACCCAGGGTCAACACCCCCCACCTCCCTTGCAGCTAAAGGATGGCATGGTGGGGGTGGGGTGAGGAGGGTCCAGGACTCGCTTCTGAAATATTGTTAAAGTATGTTGGATATCCCTTCTCCTTAAGTGTCACCTCCTCCAGGAAGTTTTCCTGATTGCTTGGAACAGTTTTATGCCCCTTCTGTGAAACCCACAGCTCCTGCTCATGTTTCTTTTTCTTGTCGTGTCACTGGTTGCATTACAAGGGTAGCTCCTATTTTTTCATTTAATTTGCTGACACTGAGAGTTATTCAGTTGACTTTGCTGTACACCCTTTTCTGCCTTTCAAATTGAGAACCATGAGATTGTATTGCTTAGTCAAAAAAATGCTATTTTACAACTAATAAGAAATTTGATTGGAAACTCTGTGGCTCTGATGGTTGATGGCCTAAGACTCTGGGCATCTGTTTAGGATCTCCTCCTGCTGGCCTCACCCCAGTTTGGAAGGTCATCCTGGATGGTGACACGGCTTTGTCCCCAGCCCAGAGCAGGCTGAATGTAGGAAGAAGTGAACGGCCTCACTCCTACTGCCCATCTGGACAGTCACTCTGACCCTGAGGCCAAGTCTCTCTTTCACCTAATTTGTTTTCCGATACCGACCAGACCTCAGACCCTTCTCAGCCCTGACGCTGACCACACTGCGACCCCAAGCACTGACTTCTTCCCCAACACCAGTTTTAACCCTGACCTCTGATCTCTGACTGCTGCCCTGACCCTGACCTACATCCCTATCCCTAATCTCTATCTCTGTTCATGAACTTGACCCCTGACATGGGTATAGCCATGACCTCAGCTTGACTTCCGCTCCAGGTTCCAGCTCACCTCTCCTCCTTCCCCAGGAGGAAACCCCAGGCTGGGCAGGGGAGGTTGGGCGGGGCCTTGGTGGGCCAGCTAGTTGCGGGTAGAGCAAGCAGGCACGAGTGAGGCCGAGGAAGGGCTTCTTTGGGCACGGTGGGGTCAGGGTGCTGGTGGGGCCAAGGAGGGGTCAGATGGGACAGGGGCTGGGCCAGGAATGGTAGGGCAGGCGACCAGGGTAGGCACGGTTGGGGCTAAGGAAGGGCCAGGCCGGGGGTGTGTAGGGAGGCTGGTGTGGGGGGCGCCAAGGAAGGACCAAATGTATGGGAGCATACGCAAGATGGGTAGGGTGGGGAAGTGGGCATGGTCAGGCTGGCATGGGCAAGGCTAGTGAAAAGCCAGAGTAGGTGGGGCGTGGGCGGAAAGGAGAGGTGGGCGTGGCCCGGCTGTCGTGGGCGTGGCTCGGCTGCTGTGGGCGTGGCCCGGCTGCCGTGGGCGTGGCGGGGCATTGGGCACGGCCAGGCTGGGGTGGGCTGGCGCTGCTTTCGCTCACCTCCTGCAGCTGCAGCCGCACTTTGTTGAAGGCTCGCAGCCAGTTGGCCTTGGCCCTGGACATGGAGTCCTGACCTTCCTGGCCTTCCTCATCCTCTCGTGGCCTGAAACTGAGGCGAGGGGTTTCATGAGGCTCCAGGGCAGGCTCTCCTTGAGCAGCACCCTGCAAGCGATGCCGGGCCCTCCGTGGGCTCCCTGTCCCTTCAGAGTCAGGATGCCCCGCCTGTGCCCGCTCTGAGTGGCCTTGGTGCCACTGCCCCCTTCCCACATGCCCATCACCTCTCTGACACCTTTGGGTCCCCGGCTCCCCTTTCCACCCTCCTGGCCCCTCTGTCCCTTTATAATCCTATTTGCCCAGGGTCTTTCCCATGCTCTTGTGGCCTCGGCTCCTCACACCCCTAAGATCCCTTCATGACCCCACCTGAGCCCCTCGGACCCCAGTGAACCCCTTTTGACTTTTCCCACCTTCCCATCACTTCTGATCCTTTCAATAAACCCGTGACCCTGGGACAGCCTCCCCCACCCCCCAGGCCCACGCTGGCCCTGTTGCCACCCCAGTGACTCCACGACCTTGTGACAGCCCTCAGCCCCTCCCGTTACCTCTCCTCAGCCTTGGGGGGCTCAGGTTCTGGCGCCCGCTCAGCTGTAGGCCCCTCCTTGGACACAGCTGACTCAGGGGCTGCCTTGGCCATGTCAGGGCCCTCAGCAGGAACAGCCAGGGCCTTGTCCTCCTTCTTGGGGGCGGCCGGTGGGAGGCTGACACGCTTGAAGTCTTTGGGCTCAGCCACAGCCACCTCCTCACGCTGGGCATAGCCACCGATGTCGTCGGGCACCTCCTCCTCCTCCTCCAACTCCTCCTCATCCTCAGGCAGCTCCTCCTCCTCCTCCAGGAAGTCCTCCAGCTCCTCCTCCAGCTCCTCCTCCAGCTCTTCCTCGTCCTGGTCCCAGCGCGGCGAGTCCTTGTGGTAGCTGACCGAGCTGTGGCAGGAGTGGTAGGAGTCGCGGTCCCGCTCGTCCTCCAGCTCGGAGCCCTGCAGGCTCTGCTCATCCGGCTCGAAGTCCTCGCTCAGCTGCGAGCTGCCCTGGCTCAGCTCCCCGGAGGAGGCGTAGTGGCTGCTGCCCGTGGGGCTGTGAGGACAGGTCAGGCCTCAGGGGCCAGGGTTCAGAGCTGCTGCCCACCCCAGCCCCTGCCACACAGGTTCCATCACCCAGCCATTCGCTCAGCACTGGTTGAGCACTACTGTGCACCAGGTCCCACTCTAGGCACCAGGGAAACACACCCATGAACAAAAGAGACAAAAATCCCTGCCCTCGTGGCATTTACCCTGAGAGGGCAGGCAGTAAAACTAGATGGATGACAATTAGTGATCATCGATGACCTACTGTGTGCCACTCCTGTCCAGGCACTGTGGAGGCTCCGCCCACATGACGGGGAACTCGAATCAGTGTCCTTGCCATGGCCCCCTTGGAGACCTAGTGCTCCTGAAACTTGAACATAGCTGCGCCTGGCTCTTGATGTCCCCCCACATGGACCTGCTCCTCCCACTGCTGAGTCCCGCCTTCACCAGGGAGCCGGGCCTCCTCGCCTCCGCTCCTCACCTCAGCCTCATTCACAGCCCAGCTGTGGCGGGCGCCCTTGGCTCCACCTCACAGACAGATGCAAAACGCACCCACTTCCTTGCACCCTGGGTCCCACCCGAGTCCGGGCCTCCATCTCCACTAGATGCTGTCCCATGTCCGCCCCCGTCCCGGACAGGCCCTGTTTCCTGTGGAAGCAGCAGAGGGGCTTCTTTGAATTGTAAACCCAATCATATTCCTCCCGTTTCAAGCTCTACCATGGCTCCCAGAGCCCTTGGAACAAAACTGGAGGCGTGCCCTGCTCCCCAGTGTGGCCCAAACCCTCCAACCCCACCCCCGACTCCTGTCCCCCTGCTCCAGCCACCTCGGCCTCCTTGCTGTTCCTCCAACACCTACACCTGTGCCCACCTACCCACCGCCTCTGGGCCTTTGCACTTGCAGTGCCCTTGGCCAGGAACACCCTTCCTCGTCTGCTTCATCCAGCAAAATCCTTCAGTGCCCATTGAAACGTCACTTCTTTGAAGGGCTCTCCTCCACTGTCCGGCCAGGTCAAGCCCTCTCCCTCCCCGTTATCTGCTCCTTATATGTGCCCTGGATCACACCCGACATGACCGGGAAGAAAGATGGCTCAGTTTCTCTTTCTGCCCGCTGTTTTCCCTCTGTATCTCTAATGCTTTGCGATCCGACCCAGTCAGAGACCCGTGTGGTCCAGTCTCGAAGCCATGATGGCACCAAGGAGCATATGGTCCACCAACGACATAATGATTTCATTCCACCCAAGTTCTGCGTTTGCCAAATCCCCTCGAGGAAGGAGGGCAGGCAGCATGACCCATGGGCCACCACTCATCTCCTTTCTAATCATTTAGTCAGTCAACAAACAGCATTCCTTGTCTTACATACTTCCTCCACTCTCAGGGACTGAGACTCTCTTCCCTGGCTGGCCCCAGCGATGCCACAGGAATCACAGTGGGGGCTCCTCCCTCTAGTCCTGTTTGCTAGTTTGCACATGGCTGATCGCTTGTAGGGCTGGCCCTGGCCCTCACAGAGAGCAGCGGTGGGGCGGCAGCAGGTGCTATTCGGCTGTAAAGGACTCCAAGCTCTGTCCGCGGGCAAATACCCTGACGTCCACCCTAGCACATTGCGGGGCCTCGGGAGCGAGGGGAACCCAGGACCGAGACCCCACGCAGGCCTGGACACGCCCCCCCCGTGTCCTCAGGTGCCACGTGAATTGCCCAGGGCTGCACGGGGTGGACCTGGCGGTCATGAGACTCCTCCCACGCTGGCTCTGACATTTGGGGTCCAGCTCAGACGCTGCCCCTGGTCACCGTGCCCTCAAGGCAGCCGCCAGGGCCCTCCTGCGCGGTCGGCGCCCCCCTCCAGGCTTTAGCTGAGCTGTTTCCTCTGCCTGAACCCCCCCTGCTCCGCCAGCTGCCACACTAATCCTTCAAGGGCCACCCCCCGGCACATGCCTCCCGGAAGCCTTCCTGCCCCTCCCCACCGCTTAATGGAGGAAATGTATTCTTTGGGGAACAAACATTTTGGAAGAAGACCGATGACAAAAATCACCAAGCCACTCGTCGGTACCCAGTTGCTTCACCATAAACACCAGTCTTTACAATGATTTACCAGGTGGGTGACAGCAGGCAAGTGACTTGCCCTCTCTGTGCTTTGATTCCCCATCTGTCAAATGGGTCCACTAACCTTCCCACCCAGAGGATGAAGTGAGATGATGAAGGGAAGGGGCTGGACCAGCGCCGGACACCCAGTTAGCTCGAGTCCTGTTACCTGTGCTGTTGGCCTAACAGGCACTACGTGGCCTCTCCAGGCCCCACTCAAAGCGCTTTACAAATCCCCACCCGGTTTAGTGCCGTGTTTGTCACTGTTCTGTTTAGAAACCAGGACTGGGGAGGTCCAGGCAGTGAGGATGGGTGGCAGGTGCAAGTTTCAGCCTCACGGGCTCAGGGACCAGCACGCTGCACGGGGCAGGGCCGTGGCTCACGCCAGCCAGGGGCCCCCCTCCCGGGCAGGTCTAGGGACAGCCCACTTTCAGAGGAGCGGTGACAGTGGCTGGACCGAGCGGGGCAGCTCCCCAGTCACGGAGCCCATGCCTGTGGTCAGGAATCAGGGGCAGGGCCACCAGGAGGGCTGCACAGGACCGCCCTGGGACCGCCGGCCAGCCTCGCTGGCTGTCTTTCTTCCCACACCCCAGCCCCCACTGACACTAATCTCCACCCCCCCCCCGCCCCCATTGGAGAGGACACAGGGACCAGTGGCTCTTAAAGGGAATGCAAGGCGCCCCCGTACTTCAGGGGAACCTCTCAGGGGCCTCCAGACTCCCCTCTTTCTTCAGCCAAAGCGGACTCCCTTGTGTCAAGCTCATGGCGTCCTCATGCAAGATTTGGGTAAAGACAGGGCCCTGTTTCTACAAGAAGCGTAGACGCTGCCTTCCGAGCCCCACTTCCCTCCACTCCCTCTCTCTCACTCCAGGAGCCAGAGCAGAACACGGGCACACACACGCGCGCACACGCACACACGCGCATCCCTCGCCCTGTGGTGGCTACCTGAGGGCCCGCGGCTCAGAGAACTCCTCGTAACTGTGCATGGAATCACTGTAGGATTCCCGGGACCCCAGGGGCGGTGGGCGGACAGAATACTGGTGGACCGAGGCATTGGGCTGGGATGTCGTGTAATAGGGTGGCGGGATGCTGTTGCTTGTCTCGCTGCGGTAGTCACTGTCCCGATCATCCACAGCACTGTCAGGGTCATCATCTGGAAGAGAGAGGAGGTGAGGGGAGACAATGAGGAGGGAAGAGAGAGAGAGAGAACACAATGAAGGCCAATGCAGTCTCTCAGACTTAGGGGGTCTTCACTGGCTGCTAACCCAAGAAGAGGAATCTTTACCAGAATGAATGAAGGATCTTGGGTCATGTTAAGAGAGGTATAGGCTTTAGAATAGGGGAGGTGATAATCCGGCTTTGCCTCATGTGGATCATATTAGATCTAGAGTCTGGAGTCCAGGGTAGGTCCTACAATGTGAGGTGGACAGGGACAAATTGGAGGGTGTCCTTCAGCTCAACTGTGACAACAGACTTTGCTAAATTTCAGGCTCTCTGAAAACAAAATGAGTTTTTCCATCAGGCAGTGAACTTCCCATAACAGAAGTCAGGCAAACACTCTGGGGGAAGCTGGAGGGAGATCAGGAGGACAAGTTGGAGTATAAACACCCTTTGGCCCTCAGAGATTTCTTACGTCCAAGGATGGAGATCCCGGAACTGAACTCAAAGTGCAGGAATGAAGAAGGGGCTGTGACAAGGGGCCATCTCCCTCACAAAGGATTAGATTCTAAGGCTGACGAGGCCACCACACACCCAGAATCTATTGCTAAATGGAATGGAGTCGGCTTGCCGAATTCCAAACGTTTACTAAGAATTAGAAGATGTTTTAGCTTGGTTTGGTTTCCTTAGTAAATAGAAAACAGGTTTCCCTTCTTAATAAAAAGAGAACAGCGTTGAAGGATGCTAATGTGGTGGGACGGGAGAGACGCCCTTTATCTAGAAAGCAACACTTGGGCTGCAAACAAAACTAAACAAAATTAACTGCTGGTTGGGCGGCCCCTGGTGTGCCCGGCCCCTGGTGTGCCCGGCCGCGGGCTTAACTTGCTGTGATTTTAAACCTCAAGGGGGTGGCTTATACCTTTTTATGCCTTTAAAGTATGTTTGCTCATTTCTCTGGTGTTTGCATATTCTTTTTGCTCTACTGTTTTAACCTTCTCCTTTTTCAGCTAATAGAGTCTGTTTCTATCTATTCAAAAAATAAGTCCAAAGTTTTCTAATGTGGTAAACTGTTAAAAATTAATTTCACACTTCACGTAGAAAGCTATTTGATGCATTTCTTCAGTCATCTTGCCTTCAGGACAATGTTCGACTCACTCCAACCTGCAGCGCCGGCCCCGCCAGGCGCCCTGGCTTCCCGCCGCCTCCTCGTTTGACTTGGGCCACTGTGACCACAAGCTTTGCCGGCCCCTGCCCCGCACGACGGCAGTCTGACACCCTGGGCGCCAAGGCGCTGACGTCACGGGCAGATGCTAATTTCCACGACTCAGATTTGTGGCAACGGCTGACACTGCGGTGCTGTGAAGGCCTGAAGCGCCGGCTCTGACACCTGGGCCGTCCCCCACAAAACTCGCGACTATTGGTCAATGTCACCAAACTGCGTCTCTGACCGACTCGTTTTCCACGCGGCGGTCTTTTTATCGTCTTTAGCCAAATCGGCCTTCTTTCTACCAAACTGCCCTCAACTGGGCTACGATGTCGCCAACCAAATCGCACGGGGCTGTGTGTGCCTTCACCAAATTCATGATTTTCTGACACATTGTCTGTTTTGGGGACAAACTGCTTTCTATTGGATTCTTTTTGCTTTTTTCCAGACTCTACTTGTTATCAGATAATTTTTGACCAAACTGCTGCTCCCGGCGAAGTCGTTCTCAGCCATTGTCATGTTGACAGAATGGTCTGCTTTGGACCCACTCGTCTTTGCTCTTCTTGACCCAATTATCAGCTTTTGCCAAATTGGTTTTAACCAAAAGTCTCTTTGTTTCTGACCGTATTGTTTGTTTGTGGCAAACTGGTTGTCAGCGAGTCTTCTTGTCTGCCGAACACCTATTCGGGCCCAAGCGGTTTCTGTCTGACTTGTTTTTGACAAACGGTTTGGGGTCAATGCATGTATTTGTCAGCAGTTTCCCTGGTCCTGGAGGGAGGGCAGCGGGAGCTGGTCCATCGAGCGGGTGGGCAGGAGGAGCCCCAGCTGGTGGAGGAGGGGAGGGGAGGGGCTGATTCCTGCTCAGACCAGAGGACTGGATTTCTCCAGAAGGGGCAGGACGTCCGGGAAAGGGAGCTATTCCTTAGAGAGAAAAAGGGGCATCCAACATGGGGGCCGGCTTGTCCCCGTCCCCTGGGGGCAGATTGGAGGAAGGGGCGTGTGTGAGGGGGCCTGAGGTCTCAGGAATGACGTCTGCCTGGGGTCCCTCCCCAGCTGCTCTGAGACCCTCGCCCTATCACCTCTGAGTGACACTGGGGCCCGTTTCCAGGGGGAGGAGGAAGGTGGGAAGACAAAAGAGGACGGAGCCCTAGGAGAGCTGATGAGGTTACACATGGGGGGGCGGGTCACCAGCCCGGCGGAGGAGGCTGGGCTGTCTCAGTGCCCACTCCTCCCAGCTGACCCCCCCCAGTGGCGGTACCCACCCCCCACCAGACAGAGCGGAACCCCCAGGACGGATGTGAGTGGTTGGGGGCAGGAAGGCACGACAGGGGTCCTGCCAGTCCTCTGGGCAGCATGTGCCAGCCGCAGGCTCCCTGCTCCCCTGCACGGCGGGGCGGGGCCTCAGGGTCACCACGGCACCCACTTCCCCGTGGCCTCCCAGAACATCGGTGGGTACTTACTCTGCTGCTCACCCCAGCCAAAATAATTCCAGTTGCCTAAAAAGAGAAGGGGCAGAGACAATAAAAGAGAGCAGGCAGTGGGGGGGACCCTAGGGGGCTTCCCCATCCCCCTCATTCTCCCCAGCTCCTCCTCCCACCCCACGACCCCAATCCCCTCGTGCCCAGAGCATGTTCTCGGGGCGTCACTGTACTGCTGACATTTGTCATGTCTGCCTTCGCCACCTTGGGAGGAAGGCAAAATGGCCCTGTTGTTTTGCATGAGGCCATAGGCCCAGCCAGGAAGTAACAATGGGACATTTAGGTGCAGGGTTTTCCAGTTCTGAAGTGTGGGGTCAGCATTACCCACGCCTTCCCTCCCCCACCCATGGATAAGGAAAGAAACACTGAACCGGAAATTCTAAATTTTGAAACCCCTGTTGGGTGGGGTTTTATCATTCTGTTCATTTTACAGGTGAGGAAACAGGGCTCAGAGAGGTGGAGTGAGCAGCCTAAAGTCACACAGCCTCTGAGCATCAGAGAACCACATCTTCGCCTCTCATTCCCAGCACTGGCATCTTGGAAAAACACCGTGGACTAGAAGCCCGACGCCTCTGACCCTTGGCTGCCTCTTCCTTGAAAGGGGGATGAAGAAATCTCCCCAGAGGACTCGGGGTAAATGCTGGCTGGCAGGTCTCCACTCCTGAATCGGAGCAGCCCACCCTGAGCCCACCGACCAGGGTCCTCCGCCTTCCACTCCTGCCCCACCTGCCTGGCCCTGCCCCACTGCAGCCCTGCAACGGCCCCATTCCCTGTGGAGGGCTCGTGACTCCTGCTGGGGAGCGACGGCCCCTTGTCTGGCGGGGCAGCCGGGGGCTGCCTCAGTGTCACATCGCAAGTTGGTGCAGGAACTGAGTCCCCGACTGCGGCCCCCAGCCCGCACCCAGGCTCCATCATCACCGTCCTGGGCATGTGGCAGGAGGGCAGCGGGCACAGGGGAGGCTGCGAGAGGAGGAAAGGAGGAGGGGGCAGCAGCTGGGAGAGGAGAAAGAGCTGAAGGGCTGGGGTGGGGCGACATGTCCTGAGCGGGGGTCCGGCCCTGAGCTGTGTGACCTGCCATGTCCTCCCGACTCTGGGGGACTCGAGGGCGCTTTTAAGAGAGACGCCTCCCCGGCCTGTGAAGACCTGGCCTGGGTGCGTCTGGGCGTCCACAGGGCCAAGGAGAAGTGCTCTGGGAAACTGCAGGCTGGGTGGGGGGTGGCAGGCGGAGGAACATGGTCACCATCGCCATTACTAGAGGTGGTGCAGTGGGGAGAGAAACCAGCTCGGAGTCCCTCAGACCTGCGTGCAAATCCTGGCTCTGCCTCCTGCCCAGGGTGTGGCCTTGGGCAAGCCGCTTCTCCTCTTGGGCCTCAGTTTCTTCATCTACGAAAGCGGGTGGACTGAACAGCCTTTGTCCATCGCGCGGGCGCCTGTGGCCCGGGAGCCGGTGGCACTGCCTGCCAGTGTCATCCGCGCCATCGGCCTCTGGGCTGCTTGGTGGTCTGTGTCGGCCCCAGGAAAGTGTGTCTCCTGCAGGCCCTCTTATAGGAGCTGAGGACTCTGTGAAGTGTTTTCCCAGCCTCCAGACGGCCTGGGCCCCTGAGAGCAGGGGCTGTCAGCCGCCCCATTCCAAAGAGTGGGGCTCTAAGCATCTGAGAGGGCCCCCGCATGCCTGGGGCCACACGGCACGGCAGGACTCAACCCCAAGTCCCCCATCTCTTCTTCTTTCCACTACACCGTGAGCAGATGCTGTGCACTCGTGGGCCCCATGTGCCTGGAGGGCAGTGACCCGTGGGACAGGACAGGCATGGTGTCGGGGAAGGGAGCAGGTCAGCCGATGCCCAGGGCAGGATTGAGCGGTACTTACAGCACTGGTTGCTGGGCACGGGGAGAGGCTTGTCTTGTTCATCTTGGAACGAATACTGAGGAGGAGGGAGGGAGGGAGGCTCCTCTCAGGGGAGGCCAGACGCCAGGGGACCAGCACGGTCCTCTGCTCTGCCCCCTCCTGAGTCCCTCCTCCTCCCCAATCCCCTCCCTCTGGAGGACAAGGATGCAGGCGTCTCCAGAGAAAGAGGAAGACAGAGGGAGACACAGACATGCAAACAGTGAGAAGCAGAGACAGAAAAAGGAAAAAGAGGCACAGATGAGGGAAAGAAGCGGAGAGGAGAGAGGGAGCTGAGGGCAGGGGGCTGAAGGGAGAAGACGATGGCAGGTGAGGTCGGCCAGCAGTCATCATCGTGTGGGTGCTGCCCCCAGAGCCGCCTCGGCTAGCCTGCTGTTTCCTCCCGGCCCCCTGCAGACAGCCTGCTGGGCCACACGGGGCCTTTGCACTGTGTCAGCCCAACCCGAGAAGAAGGGGGAGGCAGCCAAAAGCAGAGGTGAGGGGCTCGAGCTGCTGGGGGAGGAGAGCTCTCCCAAAGGTCTGAAGGTGTGACTTGAGGAGTGGAGGGGAGTGAGACCTGCCCAGGCCCTGCCTCCCCTGGAGGGGATTTTGGCAAACGCAGGACTTGAGTCGACTGAAATCATTACATCGTTGATGGACTGTCTGTTCCTTGGTGACATTGTGGTTTGAGACTGGACCACATGGGTTGCTGATGTAGTCAGGTTACAAAGAGTTAGAGACACAGACAGAAGGGAACACAGGCAGAGAGAAAAGCAGAGCAGAGGACACGGGGAGACACGGAGAGACAGACACAGGAGCAAAGTCCCCCACGCCCACCTCGTCCTGGTCCCGCAGGGCGTTCAGCTGCTCCAGCTTCTTGGCCCAATAGCGCGCCTCCTCCTCAGGAATGTCTGGAAGCACAGCCCCGGCTGGGAGCCTGCCCTCTGCCTCCACCCAGTGCATCCCGCAGGCCCACAGGCTGGGCGCCGTGGTGGGGGACAGGGCAGGACCAGGGGCGCCCCAACTGCCCCCACTCCAGAGCCACCTTGGGGACGGCAGAGGACGGGCAAGTGCATGCATCCTGGCGTCCCAAGGCCGGGGAGCCATGAGTTCTCAGAAGGCTGACGTGGAGAGAAGCGAGCTGCTTCCGGGAAGGAAGGGAGGCCTCCTGTGTCTCCGCCTCTGTTGTCTCTACAGGGCTCTCTCGGCTTCTCTGCCTGTCTCTGTCTCTCTGTCTCTCCTCCTGTCCCCAGCTCACCCCCGCAGCCTAAGACCTCACCGAGGACCAGCCAGGACAGCTCAGACCTGAGCCCTGCCTGCCGAGCGGCATCTGCTGCCCGTTGGCACCGCAGGAGCCGGGTGTGCTCTGCATATGGCAGGCGCGTGTCTGCTGACTAGCTGCCTCCTGGAAACTCCTCTGGGGAGAGGACACCTCATCCTGGGCAGGGAGCGTCATCTGGACCCACTCAAGCCTAGCCACTCTCCTGGGACTTGGAGGGCGTCCTGCGCCCCCCCTTACCTAAGGGGAGCTCGAAGCGGGTGTCAAGGAGGATGCGGTGGAAGGTGGGGTCCTTGGTGCCGCAGATCTCACTGTCCGCCATGATGACCTGAGAGTCCAGCGTCAGCCACTCTCCAGGGCCCTCCTGGGGTGAGTGTGGGGTGGGGTGACAGGGGCAGGTCCTAGGTGAGGCGAGCTGGACCAGGGATTGGCTGCATGCCAGCCAGCAGGCCCCCTACTCTCACACGAGTGCCTCCCTCACCCCATCTCACCCCCACCCCAAGAGCAAGGGTCACGTCCCCACTTTACAGATGAGGAAACTGAGACTCAGAGGGAAGGCCCCAGTCCAGGGCGACGTGGTGGGTCCAGGGAACTCAGAGGCAGGGACCCAGAGAAAGGGTCCCGCGGGATCAGGCAGGGGCGGTCACAGCCTTACACAGCCACTCTCATCCCTGATGAGCTGTTAAGTGGCCCTAGCTTCAGCTAAAACCCTGATGCTCTCACTACCCAGGGAGGAAACCCCCCAAGTGAATGGACCAGTCCCCCTTGATTCAGGGATATGAGCCCTTGAGCAGATGGGGCTCACTCTGAACCTCAGTTTCTTCATCTCTCAGATGAGAATGATGTTCTGCAGCATCTGCTTTCTGCGGCCCCAGAGAGAGGCCGGCAGGGGTGAGGGTAGTAGTCCAGGGTCCCCTGCATGGGTCACTGCTGCCCCGGGTGACTCAGCCTCCCTCCCACTTGGAGGAGCCACTAAGGAACTTCTGGGTCATCCTCAAGGCCTCCTTTTGGATTCACTTGCCTGGACTATTGCCCCCATTTCCTCCCTCTCCATTCATTCATTCATTCATTCAAGGATAAATCCTCTCTGCCTGGTCCCTGCTGGGCAATGTCAGGACCTCCAAGACCCTGAGACAGAGCCTGACACAGACACCCCCAGCCCCGAGGGGTCAGGGCATGGCCAGAGGGAGGGAGAGGGGCTGAGGAAGCCAGTGGGAGGTGAGGAAGGGCTTCCTGGAGGAAGGAGGGGAGGGCAGGGGAACCTGGCTTAGAGGGTGATGAAAGGGACACCTGTAGCCCAGAGGACAGCACATGCGAAGGGTCAGAGGTCATCTTTGGGGCCTGTAAGGGATGGAGGTTGAGGGTGGGTGCGGGTGGGGATAAGGCTGGCAATGTGGGCAGGTGCCATCAAGAAGGCCTCCCAAGGGAGATGGGCAGGGAGGGCAGGAAAGGGCCCTGGGGTAGTCAGACCCTGCTGGAATCAGCACGGAGCGGGTGGGACTGAGGGACAGGAGGCCAGGGAGGAGGTCGAGGTTACTATCTGGGACCCTCGGGGCGGGGCAGCCTTCTGCCCACACACAGTGCTAACTGCCCACAACCTCCCTTCCCTTCTCTTTCATAGGAATACATTTTTAGCTGGGCCCAGGGCTGTGCAGCTTAAGACTACATTTCCCAGATTCCCTTGCAGCTAGCTGGGGCCACATGACTAAGTTCTGGCCAATGGGATGTGAATGACGTACCATGAGCAGCTTCCAGGTTGGGCCCTTAACTGGGAGGGTGAAACCCCTCCCTTGCCACCTTTCCCTCCCCTGATGGGAATGCAGATGTAGTGGTGATCCCCAGCAACCATCCTGGGCCATGAGGTGAATGCCACAAGGAGAGAAAGGCAAAGCAACAAGATGGAAGGTGTGTAGACTCTGGTGACTCTGGAGCCGCCACCACAGCCCCAGATATCTACCCAAACATTGTCAGGGGATGGAGATAAGTGTCTATCTTGTTTAGGGCACTGGCCTCCGGGCCCCTCCCAGGCACTCCTCCCCAGTCTGCAGTCCACCACTCACTTCATTGGACTGGCGGATGGTCCGTAAGGGGATCCACACGGTGCCCACCATCGTGTCCCAGATGAGACCCTTGTTCCACACTTCCACCGTCAGTCCCAAATCTAGGCGGTTGATCTCGCTGTGGAGAGAGGGGACGGGCACGAAGGGGCAGCAGTGAGGGAAGGAAGACTCAGGAAATCGGTTCACTCACATGAGGACACACGGCCAACGGGAATCAAACCCAGGGCTGGCTGAGTCCCAGACTGGAAATACAGAGGCTCTTGTTTCACAAAGGGGAAACTGAGGCCAGAGGACTAAGTTACATGCTTAGGCATCACAGCAGAGGCAGGATTCCAAGCTGGGAGGGAAGAAGGGAGACAGATATCACACATCTCCCGCACCCCGACTCTCCTGGCCCTTCCTCGAGCCCTCAGACCCGAGAATGCTGGCTGAGCAAGGCGGCGCCCGCAGCTGCCATGGCCCCCTGTGATGGCAGGACAAGGGCACTTGCATGTCACCCCTCTCCAATCACGTGGGGACACCCCTGAGCATGGGAACGATCTCACCTCTAAGCACTGTCCCTGCGGCCCCACCCAGAAATATGCAGATTTGGGGGAAAACCTCGGTGAATGTCCAATTCACTGAATTCACCAATTTACCAAAGATTTACCTTAAGGACTGTTCTCCCTGAATATATCTGTTGACTGCGACCTGGTCATTCAGGAACTGGCTCTCAGGGAATTGGGGACCACCCGACGCCTCCCCCTTCACGTCTCCCCTGGAGTCAGAGGGCCGCACCTTCCATCCTTGCCCCGATGCCCCTCTGCTCCAGGACCCCAACTCTGGGCCCTCTCATGGCCTCCACCACTGGCAGTGCCCAGCCACGCTCTGCATAGGGGCTGAGGGCTGGCTGGGTCCAAACCCCAGCTCTGCCAGATGCAGGCTGTGTGGCAGTGAGCAGTGGCTGTGCCTCTCTGGCTGCGTCCTCATCTGTAAGATGAGGGTTACAATAGCTCCCTCCTGCTGGGGCTACGGGCAAAATCAGTTTAATCTTGGCCTCAGAAGAGGGTGTGGCGCGTGCTGGTGACCGTCAGTAGAGCAGGTGGGACAGAGCATGAGGCCCTGGGTGGCTCCAGGTTGAAGGGAGGGTCCAGGTCATGAATTCATTGAGTAATTAGGCAAATATTTATTGAGCACCGACTGTGTGCCAGGCCGCGTGCTTGGCATGGAGGTCACAGTGGGGACAGAGACCAACTGGGCCCTACCCTCCTGAAGCTCACAGTCTGGGGGGCAGGAGCCAGAAATGTGTCAAAAAATCACACAAGTGACTAAAATAACAGTTGGTGGCAAGGTCTGAAATTACTCTTCAATTGCAGTTTGCAGGGGCTGGTCAGGGAGAGTTCTCCTGAGGAGGTGACACAGCTGAGACCCGAAGGACAAAAACAAGCCAGCTGGACAATCTTCCTCAGCAAAAAGAGGAGGATTGGTGGCAGATGTTAGCTCAGGGCTAATCTTCCTCAAAAAAAAAAAAAGTAGAAAAAAAGTCAGCTGGGAGGGGTAAGGAGGGAGAGAGAGGAACAAGTACAAAGGCCCTGGGGCAGGAATCAGCTGGACCTGTGGGAGGACTGGTGCAGACAGGGTGTGGCTGGGGCAGGTGAACTGGGGAGATGGAGGGAGATGCTGGCGGGAAGTCACAGGCTGGGCCTGGGGAGGGGTGGCTGCGGGAGGAGTGTGGGTTTTGTTCTGGGGCTGACAAGCCATGAGCCATGGGCAAGTTTGGAGAGTGACAGGACGTGATTTGCAGTTTTAAAAATATCCCCCTGGCTGCCTGAAGGAGGACAGATTGTGGGAGGCAGGTGGGAGCAGGAGGCCAGGGCGGAGGCTGGCGGGCAGCAGGGGCTTGGCTGGTGGCCTTGAGATAAAGGGAAGTGGCTGGACTCGAGAAGTGCTTTGGAGGCAAAGCTAATGGCTGGACATGGGGCCAAGGGAGGAGGGAGGGGAGTCCCAGACGACACTGGGTGTCGGGCTGTGCTCTGTGGACCAGCAGGGGTGGGGCTGTGCCGGCGGTCACTGCAGACTCACAACATGAAGTCTTGCTCCCAGCTGGGCTGGCTGCCCCGCACGGCGATGGTCGTGCTCTTGACATTCTGCACCTTCAGCGTCACATACGTGTTGAATTTCTCTGCGGTGGTGAGAGCAGAGGTCAGCACAGGAGCTCAGGGACCCCCGTGCACCTTCCCGAGCTCTGGACAACCCACTAGGATCCCCCAGGGACCGCCCCAGGCCCAACATACGGTGCTGCGTCTGTGCCTCCCCCAGGCCAGCCCCCAGCGCACACCCCACCCCCGCCCCAGAGCACAAGGGAGGGGCCTGGGCGCCAGGGGTCTGGAACTTGGGGTGCCTGATCCTGCTGCTTAAAAATGACCATGTCCAGTGGCCTTAGTTTTCAACTGGGAAGAGCGAGGCCCCAGACAGGGGAACAAAATTGGGTATAAGAACCTCTCTTCATCTCCCTGAGCCTCAGCTTTCCCACCTACAGCCTCATCTAAGGGTCTCCACCTTGTCCCTCAGGGTCCCAGGAAGGGCCACTGGCTCAGGGTGAGCCCACCTCCGCTGGGACCCCAGGCCGAGTCTGACACGCTCTGCGATGTCAGCAGGTGTAGAGCCACTTCTCTGGCTCAGGCCCCCTCCCCCGTCTCTCCAAGAGATGGACAGACAGACAGCACAGGACAGGGCAGGAATAGAGACCACTTACCTTGGGCACCATCAAACTTGGCTTTTTTGACTGTGGAGAGAGACAGGGACAGGGAAGGGAGACAGGGGGCGGGGGGAGAGAGGCAGGGAGGAGAAAGACAGAGACACAGAGAGATGCACCGAAAAAGAGACATAATGGGAGAGACAGAGAGGAGAGAGACACAGAAAGAAAGAGGCAGAGAGAAGAGAGGCAAAGACAGAGAGCAAAAGAGATAGATAGAGACCAAACGGGAAAAAAAGCAAGAGAAAGACAAGAAAATCAGACACAGAGACACAGAGACAAGGAGAGGAAGGAGGAAGGAGGCAGGGGTGAGAGGGAGAGAGAGGAGCATCAGAGCGCAGGCAGACGTAGAGGCAGGAGGGAACTTGGACCCTGGGAGCAGTCCCTGCCCCTCCCCCTTCTCCACCATACACCCCTCCAGGCTCCCCCACCCACCCCCAGCTGTGCCTTTACTCGAAGCTGACCGAGATTCAAAAGAAGGAGCTGGGCAGGTGGCAGGAGAGGCCTCTCACAGGAAGGCCTCTGGGATTGCACAGAGGGAGGAGGGGAGTTGGGGAGGAGGAGAGGAAAGCAGAGAAGAGAACTGTCCTTCTCCCTTGTCAAGCCAGTGAGAATTCTCGAACTGTCCAGCTCATTCTGTCCTAATAAATGCTCCCAGAGTTGGGGTCCAATATTTAAAGGAGACTGGGTGACGTGGAACAGAACAACCCACAGAGCTGGCTCCACAACACACCTAGAGACATCCCAGAACCGGCCAGGGGTGGTTAGAGCTTGTCCAGCCCGGGCGCCTGTGAGAAGGGCAACTGGAACATATGCCAGGGCCCCGTGCGGTCCAGGCTCTTCAGATTTGACAGGACCCCACAGTCCCAAGTGAGTCAAAGAAATTCCCCTCCGGCTCTTCCCACAGGACATTCAACCTTCACTGTCAACGCCCCTGGCACCCGGCAGCTGCCCGCAACGTCTGTCTCCACCATTCTCTCTCCGCCTCCCAAAACCTGCTCCCCACACAACTCTCTCTCCTGCTCTCTGAATTTCTTTCCCTCTTTCCTTTTCAAAAGAATATTTACATTTGCAAAGGCAATAAACGCACATTTTACAAAACCCAAAGCAGCCAAAAGATGATACCATGCATGAGAAGAGGCTCTTTCCACCCCGGAGCCCAGTCTCCCCCACCCCCCACGGCCCGCTCCCCCGGACCCTGCAGAGCGCGCCTTGGCAGGCCTGTGCGCGGTGCACGGTTTTATTTCCTACACAAATGGAAGCATCCTGAACCCTCCGTAGAACATTTGTTTCTCAGTACGTCTCACACAGTGTGTGCCAGTAAATTTAAGGATAAATTCCGAGGAACAGAATTGTATTTCTGTTCTTTCTTCTCTTTTGAGAGTCAAGTTTAGCCTTTTTCTGGGCAAATGCTGTGGCCTCCCATCTCATTAGGTATCCCTGTCTCCATCACTCGAGACTTCCTGTCTTGCAAATTGCCTGAATGGAGCTGATGAAGAGAATTCCCATCATGGGCAGGGGAGTGGAGTGACTCTAAACACTTGTCAGTAAACACTGTTTGTTCCCAGCACAGACAGGTGGTGTGTGGGTGTGTGTGTGTTTGGGGGGTTGATGCCCAGAAGCACTGAGTGAGCTCCCCACAGTTGCAGAGCGGGAGATGGAACAAGCACCTTCTGATGCCAACACTAACCTCCCCACAAAAAAGACCCGGGCTTTAAATGTGAGTTGATTGAGCATCGCACCCATCACACCTGGGTTTGGATTTGGGAAGTAGATCGCAGATGGACCCCTTGGCTGGGCACTGGGGAGGTGAGCACGCGTTCAACATGGAGTCAGGTGGAGCTGGGTTCAGCTTACTGTGCCGTGTGACCCTGGGCCAGTGAACCCCCCTCTCTGGGCTTCCATCTCTGTTTTACTCCATGTCTGTCTCTTCTCTCTCCCCATTTTTCTTGATCTGGCCTTTTCTCTCTCTCCCCCTCCTTCTGTTTCTTTCCCCTACACCCAAAATCTGTCACCATGTGCTATCTTCTTCACCTTCCCACTCCAGGTACATGACTACCTGTGCAAAAGCCCCTCTCTTGATGGATGCTCGGCCCCCATCCCACTGGCCTCTTCTCATACCCTCAGCCCCACCCAGTGCACAGGGAGCTCACCCGCCGGCCCCTCACCCCTGGGGCTGAGGGAGACTCAGAGCACTTAGGACTGTGCCCAGCAGGAGCTCCAGGCCTCCCTCCTGGGGAGAGACACAGACAGTAGCCGAAAGGCACACACACAGAGGGACCAACGTGGGGAGAAAGGAAAGCAGGGAGGAAGAGGGGCGTGGATAACAAGACATGAAAGTCAAAGACACAGAGACAGAGGAGAGAGACACATAGATTCCAGTAGGGAGGCCAGGCAGGGGTGATGCCGTGGAGAGGAGAGGCAGAATGGAGAGAGAACAGTTAGGGGACAAGCCCGGGGAGTGGGGAGGGAGTGCCAGGCCCAGGGGGGATCCGAGGAGTGGGCCCCACCCTGCAGCTCCTGCTTTGTGCCCCCTTTTACAGACAAGGGACAGGGCTCAGAGGGGAGGCCAGTTGACCAAGGTCTGTTCTCCATCCTCTCCTCTGGGGGGAGGATCTCTCCCTGTCTCCCTCCTACCGTTCTTTCTCTCTTCCTCTGTCATTGTCTTTCTGCTTCTCCTCCTCTCCTTCTCCCTCTGTCTCTGCCTCTCTGGTCCCCACTCCCTCGGTCTACCCCCTTTCCTTCTCTCCAAGCCTCTGTGGGACAGAAGGTAATGGGCTCAGTTGGGGCCGACCGGCAGTGGGAGATCGCTGGAGGGCAGCAGCTCTGACAGCTGAGGCCAGGCTCAGGCCCCCAGGCCCCTTCAGGGAGCCCAGGGTGAGGACAACAAGGCATGTTCATTATCAGGGCCTCAGAGGGAGGAGGGCTCAGAGGGGAGTGGGGAATCAGGGAAAGGGGCTCAGAGTGGGGAGGAAGTCTCAAGGGTAGGGGGCTCATCGTGGGGTATGGGCATGGGAGAGGAGGGGTGAGGCTAAGAGAAGGGGGCTCTGAGAGCGGAGGAGGCTGCAGGGGCGGGGGGGGGCAGAGGGGGACTCAAGAAGGGAGCCACGCACAGTCAGGAGGGTGGGCTCAGGGGAGGGAAGGGCTTGGAGGAAGGAGGGGGGTCAGAGAGGGGCCAGTGGGAAAGAACTCAGAGAAGGAACATAGTCTCCCCGCCTCTTCCTCGTCAGTAAGTGGAACCCTTGTCATCGTCCCTTCGCTGCCTTCGTCATCACATCTCCTCCCCGCCACCTTCCCCTGCTCACGGCGGTTGCAGTATCGGGGTCACCGGGGCGGAAGCGCCACCCCTCCCGGCGAGCTCCTGGTCACACGCACGAGGCTATTTATAACGAGACTATTTATAAAGCGGGCGCGGAGGGCGTGGGCGACGCGACAGCGGGGAGTGGCGGCGGGAGGAGGCGCTCACCGCCGGCTCCTCTGACGGGCTGCAGGAGACGCCGCGTCACGCCCGGTCAGCCGCCTGCACGGCCTCCGCGGTCCCCAGCCCCCACCCGCACCCCCACCCCCGCCCCCCGTCAGCGCTGACTGATTAATGGGGTTGCACAGGCAGATGCAGATGCTGGCAAGGGCAGAACCGGCGGAGGCGGGAGCAGAGACTCAGGCGCTGCCAAGCTCTGGGCCTCAGTTTCTGCATCTGAGCAATGGGGCCAGGTGGGGCTGGCCGGTCTCACTTCCTTCTCCTCCTCCCCTCTTCTTCCTTTCTCTTCCTCCCTCTCCCCCTTCTTCTTCTCATTATTAGTATCTTCTATTATTATACTATCATTACTACAATTTTTATTACCATTAACACGACTAGTATCACGACTATTTTTATTATTTGGTGGGTTTTAAGTGTGCCCCTGGCCTGGCGGCCCTGGATTCTAATTGAGGTTGGCTCCAGTCTGGGAGCACCTGGTCCATGACCTGCCGGGCCTGGGGTGGGGGGCGATGGGGCAGTAGAGGATTCCAGACAACAAGGGAAGCAGTCGGAAAGCCCCCTGCAGGACATGCTTACCGGGTGTCAGAAGACACTAGAAGGGGGAGCGGGGAAGGGAAGCATGGGGAATTCAGACATAGATTCTAGGATGTTTGGTAGTTTCATATGTGATGCCGATGGTGGACATGCGGTTTGTGATAAGGACATTGGCCCCGCTGGCTTTGCATCTGAGAGAGGACTCTCACCATCCATGGACAGAATGAGCCAGACCCCGACTGAAGCCTTTGGTGAAAAAAACAAACACATCAAGAATCTTGACAGGGATTTCTGTCTCTGTTGTTTACCAAGTACTACTTAGAACTAGGCCTAGCTCATAGCAAGTGCTCATTAAACAGTGTTCAATGAAGGAATGACGTCATGTCCTCCTGCAGCCGCCCTGCCCTGAGACGCGGCCCGAGGTGAGGGCACTGTCCATGGTGCTGAACTCGCCGTCTCCCTGCTCTGTCCGCGGTGCTGAACTCGCCATCCCTGCCTGGGTACCTCCAATGAACTTGGCACCTCTTTTGCGCTCCCCCTCCGCCCCTCCTTCCCCGGTGTACTACTGAGCCCTCCTCAGACTTGAGAACGCTGTGAGCTCTCAGGAAATGTCCTACACCCACGGACCTCCTTCCAGAAAGCTTTTAGTCCCCATTAATAAAAACATCATCATTGATTTTTCCTGTCTTCGGCTCACAGTTATTGAACTTTTCCACAGAACAGGCATTGTGCCAACAGCTCTGTGTGCCTCACCTCACTGGAGTGTTCCAGTAAACCTAGGCAGTGAGCGCTATTAGTATGCCCATTCTACAGATGGGCACATCGAGGAATGAAGAGAGTATGGGACTTGCCCGGAAGTGGTGGAATTAGGGGTTCAAATCCAGATCTGCTGGACTCAGGATGTCCCGGTTGGCACCTCACAGAAGAACTCCACTGTATGCGGGAGGAAAGTGGGATCTATGCTATGGAAGCAGCTAAGATTGCAGCCCTGAAATGAATCATAGCCAACCCTGGAGGGCATCCTACGAGGATGGTGAGAGCAAAGACCTGGATGTACAGCCCACTGACTGGGCGGTATCAGAGTGGGGCAGTCAGGGCAGGGGAACAGCCACGATGAATGGAAAGATCATGACATGTTTGTTTACTGAGTGGATAAAGGAAGGTGATCCTACGACAGATTCTCATCCCCTGGAAGGGACTTTGGTGTCTCCCAGGTCCTGGAGGCTGAGAGGTGGTTGAACTTTCACTCCCCCTCCCCACTCCCAGTAGGTTGTGGAGTCAGACTGCTACATCTCTGGCTCTGCAGCACTAGGAAAGTTGTTGAACCTCTCTGAGCCTCAGTTTTTCCATTTGTAAAATGGGTTGCTGTGAGAATTAAAGAGAGCAATGAGCATAAAAGTTCTCAACACTGCCTGTAGAATGATAGATAAATGGGGCTTATTGTTGATATTATTATTAGTTGTGAGAGAAACTCACCCTCACAAGCATTCGCTAAGTTGTATGCAATATTCATGTATCAAATATTTATGGGACCTTTAAAACATTGAGTGACCTGGCAAAATGCTGTGAGGCACATAGAAAGGTCTAGAACTGAATCCGCACCACCGCGATTTTGCACATACTGTTCTCTCTACCTGGACAACCATCTCCCTTCTGCTTAGCTCCCCCTCACTTTCTGAGACTCAGACAAGTAGGGGTGAGGACAGGGCTGGCTTCCCAGAGAAGGAGAGCCTGCAAGCCCCCCTCCCTGGCTCCCTCAGCCTTTCCCTGTCTCTCTGGCTCTGTCCCCACCAGCATGAGCCCAGGATTGGGGCTGGGTTCCCAGAGATAAGAACAGAACCTGGCACATAGTTGATGCTCAATGAATACTTACTGAGTAAATATATGATTGAATTCATGAAGGAACCAGGTGGTGCTTGGCATGTGCAGCCTCAGAACTCTGCCAAGACCTAGCAAGTGGATAGGGGGAGCAATGGGACTCCACAGAGATGAAGAAATGAGAGGGGGAAGAGAGAAGGCCTGTACAGGGTGGTCTCCTATGTCTTGGTGCAGGCCATGCCTGCAAGAGCTTGCATTTGTGTGTGCTTGCATGTGTATTTGTCCCTCTTACCAGGGCAGGCAGGGGTGTGTGCATGGGTGTGTGCGTGGGTGTGTGCACGGGTGTGTGCATGGGTGTGTGTGTACATGTGTGGAGGGACATGTGCTCATGAGTAGCATCTGAGTGCAAGGAGGCTCTGCATATGTGTGCTGGGGAGTGGGCTGTGACTGTAGGTGGCAAATGCTGGCATGTGTGAGCTTAGGTACGTGTGGGCTTGCAGGTGATGTGTTAAGTAGAAACACATATTGGGATGTGTGTGTGTGCGTGTGTGTTTTGCAGTTGTACAGCATGTGTATTTGTTTACTTGCATACATGTACACACTCATGTGAAACTATATCCATAACATGTGGCTGTATGCAACATCATTCGCCCGTTACTAGCCCCTGTTAGGGGCTACTTTGAATGTCCAGGCAAGTGTTACCAAGTGCATACACACGGCTTGGCATGCACTTATGTGTACACATGTCTATTTATTGGGATTTGGAGTCCTAACAGGCATATATGGGAACATGCCTGCAAGTTAGGGCATGAGCAGATCTTTATGTGACACGGATATTGTGAACACACATCAAACACATGTGGTTACATCTGTGTGTGTGCACGTGCAGACAGGCACGCTTGTATGGCAGGAGCCATGTCTGTGGCAGCAGACTGTGTCCTGTATACATGTATGTGTGTGCGTTCCCACAGGCATGGGAAAGTGCACATGTGTCCATGTGTGTGCAGTCACAGGCACCTAGTCTTCATAGACCTCGGTGGATCCTAAGCATTTCTGTCCACAGAGGGTGAGTCTGGGTATGAACGTGCCAGCCCACATGTGTGCAGGGACAGGCAAATGTGGGTGGGCCCCCAGTTGGGGCAGCAGGTATTTCTTCAACCCCAAGGATGAGCTCAGATCCATGGAAAGCCCTCCCAGCCTAGCTCCACTGCTGCTCTGCCCCCTGTCCCCTCCAGTTCTCCACTCTGGGCATCATCCCCATCCCTCCCAGCACTTCCCCCTCAGCCTCTCCCAGCACTGTACCTCTCCCCCTCACCCTCAGCTTCGCCCCTCCCAGCGACCCCTCCACTCTGCTGGGGACTCCCTGCCTGTAAGTTCCACAGAATCATCCAAAACAATTCTTCCCCTAGGCCTTTTTCTGGAAGCCTCACCCTTCTTCCTGCCCTCCCTTCACACCACCCCCCCCAGCCCAGCCTCCTGATGCGTCAGAGTTAAGGGTGAGATTCCCCCCCTCCCCACCACTGGGCAAACCTTCCAGAGGAACCCAACTCAGAGGGTGTGAAGCAGAGTGAGGCGGGGTGGGGTGGAGCTGTCAGCCAGGAACACCCCCGCTGGCCCCCTCTTCCATGCCCCCGCCCAGGGTGCTGGGCAGCGTAGAGGAGAGGGAGAAGCCAAGAGGGGGCTTGGACGTTCACCTCCCCCTCCCCTTAGGCCTAGTCTGTTGGGGTAGCATGGGAGGCCCCTCCACCTCCCCTAACTCCAGAGGCCAGGGACTGAATGAATTGACTTTTGATTTTTCCGGCCCTTCTCCCCACCCGTGGGGAATGAGCTCAGGGAAAGGAGGCCCCTATCCCTTTAAGAACACCCGCGTCCACGCCGGCCCAGCCCGGCGCGATCCGCCCAGGGGAAGCCGCGGCGGCGGGGAGCCGGCGGGCGGGGCTGGGTTTGTGAATGGAGCGGCAGAGGGGGAGGGGAAGGAGGGGGAGGGGCGGCGGGGGCGGTGCCCCGCTGTTGGGCCTGCCCACCCGGGTCCAGGCTGAGGCCGGGGTTCAGCTTTCTCTCACACACACACTCATACGCACCCACACACCCACAGTACGCTGCCCGTTGGCTAAGGTGTCCGGAAGCCTGAAATCTCAGCCTTGGCCGACACACCTGTTCCCCCACCCCAGCCTTCTTGGAGGGAGCAGGAGTGCGAGGGGCGGACCTCAGTCCTTAAAACCCAAGGCTGAGATGATTACAAGCCTTGAATATCTTTTCGCCACCACCCCTGCCGCCCAAGGCCTCCCGGCGCCCGCGTTCTCGGCAGGAGTGCCCGGGACGCCCGGGTCCTGGTGCACTGGCTTCTCACCCATCCCCGCCTCAGAGGTTGGGGAGGAATGGTCATGCCCCTCCAGAGTCTCTCTCCCTCCTCCAACCCCAACGCAGAGCGTGGGCCTGGGCGTGGGCCTCGGTGCAGATGGCGTTCTGGCCCCAAAATAGCTCCACCCCACCTCTTCCTCCCTCCCTTCAGCGCAAAGTGGGTGAGGTGAGGATGGCCCGGGAGAGTGCAGGGGGGCACTGCACGGCCAAGGGGTCGGCTCCCCGCGGAGAAGGCCGGAATCGCGTTCTGGAGCGCTGGAGGGGGAGGGGAGGGGGAGGCCCACAGGCGGGTCCCCCGGTCCCCACTGGGGAAGTCAAAGAGTTAACAGGAGGTTCGCCCCCAAACCCCCAGTCGCAGCCCGCTCAGGACGTAGGGAGGGTCTCCTCAGCCCCTTCGCAGTCATCTCCACGCCCAGGGCTGGGGGATTCCCAGAGCTCGCGCTGTGCAGATGGCCAGGCCCCCTTACCCAAATCTGACACGCTCGGGGTTTGGAGACCCCTCCGCCTGCACTCCTCCTTGAATTCTACGCCCAGTCCGCGTCCGAGGGGACCCGCAGCCCAGCCACAGCACAGGACTCCTTCCAAGTACCTTGTAGGATTCATTCGAACTACCCAGCCCAGCCGCTTCCACACGGACCCCCTAATAATTCGGTCTACACATATGTCCCAGTCTAGATCGTTTCCAGATAGAGCCCCAAATGCCTCCTGGCGTGCACATGGGCCTCCGCGTTCTGCCATGTCCACACGACCCCCAGCACCGGCCACCGGGACCCCCTGAAAGCCCAGCTGCGTCTACACGGATCACCCCCTCAGGCGCCCTGACGCGTCTACAAGGTCTACCTCCTCAAATGTCCAGCCGCGTGTGCTCGGGTCACCCCCTCAGGAGCCCAGCCGCATACACACGGACCCCGAGCCCAGTCAGGATCCACACGGGTTCCCCGCCCCGCAACCTCGCCTCCTACCTCCAACGCAAAGTAGAGACATGTCTCCGGAGTCGCCGGCGGGCCGGCTTTGTCGGGTCGGGCTCAGTGGGCACTGGGCTGGGTCGTGGCCGGAGCTGCAGCCCGCGCTCTGCTCACGCCGGGGCCCGGCCTCCGCCGCCGGCCATCTTGGTTCAGCACCGGGGGTGCGGACAGCTCCTGACGCGGCGCTGACGCGCGGCGGGTGGGCGGAGCCCGGGACGCCTGATGGGGCGGGGGCGCCGCAGGCTGGGGGGGCTTTAAAGGGCCGGAGCCGGGCGGGGGCTCCCTGCCCCCAGAGCTCCCCGACTGCGGGGACGGAGAGCAGCCTCTACGCAGGTTCCCTTACGGTTCTGCGTGTTCTCGTCTCTCCTTGAGTCTCTCTGTGGGTCCTCCGGCTCTCCAGTCCTTTGCTGTCTCTCTGCTCTCCCTGAGTAGCTCTGTTCCTCCGTCTCTACGTCTGCATCTGTCTCTTTGCCTCTGTTTCTCTGTGTCTTTCTCTCCCTGGGTGTCTCTGTTCCTTTGACTCTTTGTCTCCCCATATCTCGGTCACGTGTCTCCCTCTGAGCCTCTCTCTGCCCAGTCTCTCTGTGTCTCTGCCACGTCCTGTCTAGGTCGCTCTCTGTGTCTCTGTTTCACTCTCTTCAAGCCACTCAGCCTGTGGATCTTTGCACACACTCAGACTGGATCCCGTCCTTCACTCCCTTGTGTAACTGGCAAACTCCTATTCACTCATCAATGCCCAGTTTGAACATTCTCTGCTCCAGGAAGCGTTCCCTGACTCTCTCATACTGAGCCTTTGCTCTACCGTCTGGACTCCCCCAGCCCCCAAACTCTTCCTCTGGTCTGGCCCTGACCCCCCACATCTCCGCTCCCCAGCATTCCCCACGTATCCAGGTGGGCAGTTCCATGTGGCACAGAGCCCTGCAAACCTGTTGACTGTGTATCTCCAGTGCCTAGAACAGCGCCAGAGGCTGAGCCCCACAGAGCCCCCTGGGCGCAGCACACAGGAAGGAGTTCATAAAACGGGGAGTGCACATGGAGTAGTTGCAAGTGAGGCCTGTGTTCAGAACCCAACTCTGTTGCTAGGCACCTGCATGCCTTTGGGCAAGTCATGTGACCACTGTGCCTCCGTTCCCCTCTGTGAAGAGTGAGGAAGATAAAAGGACTTGCCTCACAGAGTTGCAGAGATATTATGTAAGTTGACACCTGAAATCCCTTGGAATCGTAATGCATGTTAGCCATCACTGTAACTCTCAGTGCTTTTTAAATGTTTCTTACATACCCATTAGCTATGTGCAAAGAATAAGGAGCAGCAACCACAGGCTCGAGGAAAGAGCACAGCCATCACAGAGGAAGACCCACGGGCTTCTCCCCTATTTCTTAGTCTCTCCCCTCAGAAAGAAGAACTATCCCAGATTTTGTTTTTTATTCCCTTAATTTTCCTTACAGTTTTACCACATATTATTTGTCAGCAAACAATACATGGTTTAGTTTTGCATATTTTTGAACTTTATGTAACTAAAATAAAATGTTCGCATTCTTTACTAACCTGTTTTGTTTGCTGAACAGGATCCTGCTGATACTCATCTGAGTTTCTGTGGGTGGCTGTAATGCAAGCATTTTTCACTGCCATATAGTATTCCTCTGGATGCGTACACCATTGATTATTTATCTATTCTCCAGTTGGTGGACCTTAAGATTGTTTACACTTGGAGTTTATTACAAACAAAGCTTTTATGACCATTCTCAGAAATGTAGGCAGGCGCACACAGGTCAGGACAGCTGGATCATAGGACAGCCACACGCTCAGCTGCACAAGACAACATCAAATTGTTTTTCCATGTGGCTCCAGCAATTTACATTGTACCAGCCTCACGTAAGAACTCAGTTGTTCCACGTCCTTGCCAACGCTTTGGATTGTCCAGGTGTCCACGTTTTTTGACTTGTGCTGAGGTGAAGGGGGTGAAGTGGTGCCTCATTTTGGTTTTGATTTGCCCTCTGATTCTTCATGAGGTGGAACTTGTTATGCGATTATTGATTTCTTCTTAGGGTGAAATGCCTGTTCAAGTCTTTTATTCATTTTTTTAAATTTGACTGTCTTTTCCTCTTGATTTGTACTTCTTTGTCCATATTAGATATGAATCCTTTGTTGGTTTCATGTGTTGTAAAAATCTCCAATTTTGTGGCTTGTTTTCATTCTATTTATGGTGTCCTTTTGTTAACGGAGGCTTTTTTTTTTATATATAACCTTTTTATTTTGGGAAAGTTTTAGACATACAGAAAAGTTGCAGAGGTGCTGAGCTGTAAAAGGAACAGAGCATTCCTGTATGCTCTCACCCAGCTTCCCTAATGATAGCATCTTACATGTGGTCACATGTCCGTAGGAAAACATGAACACTGACACATTATTAGTGAAATTGCAGACTTTACATTTCACTAGTTTTTCCACTAATGTTCTCTTTCTAGTCCAGAATCTAATTCAGGATCCTACATTGCATTTAGTCATCTCATCTCCTTGGTTTCCTCTTATCTGTGAGTAAAGTCTTTCCTTATTTTTCGTGACCTTGACACTTTTGAAGAGTACTGGTCAGGTATTTTGTAGAAAGTCCCTTGATTTTGGTTTATTTAATGTTTTCTCATTTCTAGACTGGGGTTATAGAGTTTGGGGGAGAAGATCACAGAGATGGGGTTCCCTCCTTGTCACATCATACCAGAGGTCCTGATGCCCACATGACATCACAGAGATGTTAACTTTGATCACCTGGCTAAGGTGCTGTCTGCCAAGTTTTTTGTTTTGTTTTGTTTTTGTTTTTTGCAGGGGAAGATTCATCCTAAGCTAATATCACTAACATCTGTTGCCAATCTTCCTCCTTTTTCTTACTTTTCCCTCGCAGAGCCCCAGTACATAGTTGTGTATTCTAGTTGGCTACTGACAGATGAGTGGTGTGGTTCCGAGACCGGGAACTGGACCTGGGCTGCTGAAGCGGAGCACGCCGAACTTAACTGCTAGGGCTGGCTCTGTCTGCCAAGTTTATCCACTGTCAATTATTATTTTTCTCTTTCCCTACTGTGTTCTTTGTAAGCAAATCACTAAGTCCAACCCACCTTCAAGGGCAGGGAATTATGCTCCACCTCCTGTGGAGGGAGGGTCTAGGAAGCTCTTAATTTTAAATTCATTTTCTTTCTTTTCTTTTTCTTTTTCTTTTTTTCTTTTTTTTTTGCTGAGGAAGATTTGCCCTAAGCTAACATCTGTTGCCAATCTTCCTCTCTTTGTATGTGAGCTGCCACCACAGCATGGCCGCCAATGAGTGGTGTAGGTCCGTGCCCAGGAACCAAACCCCGGCCACTGAAGCAAGTGGAGCATGCCAAACTTAATCACTAAGCCACAAGGGCTGGCCCTAAATTCCTTTTTTTTTTTTTTTTACTGCCATAAAATACACATAACAAAGTGTACCATTTTAACCATTTAAAAAGGACAATTCAGTGGCATTTAGTACATTTGCAAGTTGTGCAACCACTACCGCTATCTAGTTCCAGAACATTCCCATCGCTCCAAAAGGAGAGCTGGTACCTGTTAGCAGTCATCCCCATCCCTCCTCCTCCAGCCCTTGGCCACAACTAATCTGCTTTCTGTCTCTATGGATTTAATTTTAAATTCTTCACCTTGACTAATCTTTTCCTTTACAGTATGCACACTGTCTTTTTTTAAAATTGACATATAATTGACACACATTATATGAGTTTCAGGTGTACAACATATGATTTGATATTTGTATATATTGCAAAATGATCACCACATGAGTCTAGGTAACATCTGTCATCACACATAGTTACAGAATTTTTTTTCCTTGTGATGAACACAGACTGTGTCTTGTGTAAGGAATTCCTTCCTGTCTCAGCATCATAAAGATATTCTCACAGCATCTGCTACAGTTTTAGAATTTTGTCATTTACAATCAAATCTTGGCCTCTCTTGGAACTCACTTGGGAGTGTGGAGTGAGATACGGTCCAATTGCATATTTTTCCGTGTGGACAATCAATTGTCCCAATACCCTTTAATGAAATTGTTACAAAGCAAGTTTTTGTGCACGTATGGACTTAACGGTGGGCACACGCCAACCAGAATGTACACAGTGCTGCAGGACGTCTGCCCCTCCTGGGGGTCTGTTCTGGCTCCCTCTCCTGCCCCAGGGCTATTTGTCCCTGTTCCGAAGCGTTATTCAATCCTTGATTTGTGCATTACGCCAGTCACCCATCTTGTTCTCTTTCTTCAGGAACATCTGCGTTATTCTTCGCCTTTTTCTCAGCTTGTTGGGTTCCATGGAGAAACCTGGTTGGGACTTTGATTGGAATTTCGTTGAATTTATAAACCAAACAGGGAGAATCAGCACTTTTTGTGACATTGACTCTTCCAAAGTGTGACTACAATGAATCTTTCCATTTATTTATCTTTCAATAAAGTTTACAACATTCTCCATAAAAATGTGGCACATCTTTCTTTTTTAGATTTGTTTCTAGATGCTTTGTATATTTGATGCTACACATAAATGGCCTTTTTTAAGATTCCATTTTTTTACTTGTTAGTTGTAGGAGCATAGAATGCAATTGGTCCTAACATCTAATGAGCTTTACTCACCCTTTATAAATCCAATAATTATATCTGCAGATTCTTTGGAGTTTTTGTTGTATATAATGACATTATCTGTAAATAAAGATACTTTCATTTCTTCCTTTCCAGTCCTTTGAACTTTCGTTTCTTTTTCCCGTCTTATTGCACAGTCCAGGGCCCCAACACAATCTCAGACACCATAATAACAGGCATCCTTGCCTGTTCCCCATCCTAAAGAGAATATTTCAATTTTCGCCATTAAATATGATATCTGCTGGAGGTTTTTAATAGAAAATCAAGTTGAAGAGGTCTATTTCTATCTCTATTTTGCTGAGATTTTTTTCTTTTATCACACATGGGTGGTGAATTTTAGCAAATGCATTTCCTCATCAATGGGACGCCCATATAACTTTTCATCTTTGATCTGTTCGTGTGAGCTACATTCTCTCGATATGTTTGATATGCATTGGTCTCTCCCGTTCTCTGTCTCTCTTACCCACACCTCATCTCTCTTCTTCCACCAAAGCCCTTAATAAATTGATCACTCAGATCCACTTAATTTTTAAGCCCTGGCACCCCATTTCGCTCAGCTCATTCCAAAGTTATTTATTTGAGCCATCTCATCTCTCCATTTAATTATGCTACGCTGCCTCCGTCTTTCTCCTGCCTTCTCTTCTCGGCGGCTCCCTTTTCTCCTGGCTCTCCGCACTATGCATCTACATTCGTGTCTTTTGCAAACTCTCTCAGACTCTGTCTCTCTCTCTCTGTCTTTCCACCTCTCTTCTCTCTTGGCTTCCTATATCTTGCTCTCCCTCCACCATCCTATGAAATCCACAGGGAAAAATCATTGACAGAGAAGTGATGGGAAATGGTACACAACTGAGGAAAACCACACACACACACACACACACACACAGCAAATGCCACACACCCTTCCCAGT